AATAACAATGGCAGTCACGGTGATAAACTCGACAGACAGACGACAGCCGAAAACAACAGCAGTAATTCTCGAAAAAAAAAACAATAACAACTTTCGCTACAGTTCAAGCCCTCTAGCGGCGAAGGAGTTAATTAGCCGTGCTTCGCTTCCTCACGACATTATATCATCTTTACAGTTTCTTCTCAAGGTAACGATGATGTACGGCGGAGGCGCTGACGTTGGAGGTAAATGGGTAAAATATGTTGTCGGCGGATGCTTTCTAACTCTCTCTCTCTGCCATTCTCTGTTTTAATTCTTTCTTTCTTTCTCTCTCTTTCTTTTCCTTTCTTTCTTTTCTCTCTCTTCTTTCTTTCTCTCTCTTTTCTTTCTCTTCTCTCTCTCTCTCTCTCTCTCTCTCTCTCTCTCTCTCTCTCTCTCTCTCTCTCTCTCTCTCTCTCTCGCTCTCTCCTCTCTCGCTCTCTCGCTCTCTCGCTCTCTCTCTCTCTCTCTCTCTCTCTCTCGATATGCATGCGTGCGCTCTCTGTGCATAATACTTATTTTTTTCTTTTCCCTCCCAGTTCTTCCTCCCCTTTCCCCCTCTCCACGCCAGTCGAGTCGTTGCTTTGTTTCTTTCGCGATTCCTGCTTCACCCTCGCTTTCTTTCGCCAACAGCCTTCCTGGAGTGAGAGAGAGAGAGACTCGCTTTCATCCTCCATTAGGACCTCCCCCCCCCAGCCTCCCCTCCACTCCCCCCCCCTGGTCGTACCCGGAAGCGATGCATATCACATGGTTCTAATTTTAGATCTGTCTTTCAGAAGAGTCTCATGTACCCTCCCATCCCTTCCCCTCCCTTCTTCCCTCCCTCTCCTCCCTCCCTCCCTCCCTCCCTCTCATCACCTCTTCAAGGAAACTCCAGTCTTAGACCTATCTTCTTCTTCTTCCCGCTCCTTGTCTTACTTCTCATTACTTATTTTATGCAATCTGTCTCTTCTACGTCTTCGCTTTTTCCCTAATCACAGTCTTTTTTTTTTTTTTTCTTTTTTTTCCTTCCTTCATTTACTCGACTGCGTCCTCGTCAGCCTCCCTTGTTCCTCCCTTTCCCTTCTCTTGCCTCCTTGCCTCCTCTTACCCCTATCCTCATTTCACCCCTTCCTTGAATCCCCCCCCCTCCCTCCCGTCCCCCTGGCAGCCCTCTCTCCCTGTCCCTTGTCACGCGGAGGAATTCCCTGCTGGAGGAAGAGGTCGTCGAGGTCTGAGAGGGGGCGGAGTCTCGAGAAGGAGGTACGTCTCGAACAGGGAAAAATGAGGGAGGGGGAGGGCAGGGGGGTGAGGAGGGCAGTGTACAGGGGGAGGGGGGAGGGCAGTGTCAGGGGGAGGGGGAGGACAGTGTCGCAGGGGGAGGGGGAGGGCAGTGTAGCGGGGGGGGGCACTGTAACACGGGGAGGGTGCAGTGTAACAGGGGGAGGGAGAGGGCAGTGGGGGGTGGCAGTGTCACAGGGGGAGGGAGAGAGGGCAGTATCGCAGGGGGAGGGGGAGTGGGCAGAGCAGGGGAGGGGGGGAGGGCAAGTCACAGGGGAGGGGAGGGGAAGGTCTCGAAAAGGAGGAAGAGGTCGAGAACCTAAAAGGGGTTGGTTTCCCGAGAAGGAGATAAGTAAGTCTCGAGCAGGGAAAAAAAAAGTGGAGGGAGGGGGAGGGGGGTCTTCGAGCCCAGCCACAGGGGAGGAGGGAGGGGCTCAAGCAGGAAGAAAGTGGAGCCTCACGCAGGGAGTGATGTGTTTGGGGGGGGGGGAGTAGGAGGAAAGAGGGGGGGGAGAAGAGTAAGAGGAAAGAGGGGGGGGTGAGTCTCGAACTGAGACGAACGTGGGAGAGGGGGAGGGGGAAGGAGGAGGTCGTCTCTCAAACAGGAGAAAGAGAGGGGAGGGGGAGGGGGTTCGATCTTATGGGGGGGGGGGGAGAATGAGGACTTCAAGTGCCTGACAAACACTCCACCTCGAGACACCCTGGTTCTTCACATCCTGATTCTACTCATTCTGTGATTTAACTGAAAAATGTTTTACCAATTCGCAACGTTATCTAGATGATTAAATTCATTGATAAAAAAAAAATATTAGCACAAGAGACATAATTTTCCTCTAATAATTTCATTTGTTCTGCAACATATATATCTTCATTCTTTATCTACTATAATCATCTTTAATAAAAATCGCATCCCCTAAAAAATCTTTTCAATCTCTTAATAGGATCATCTAAAGTGAAAACAAATGATAATAAACATGATGATGATAATAATAATAACAATAATGAAATAAAATTAAAATAATAACAATGATTTTAATAATAATAGCAATAATAATAACAACAACAACATAATAACAATATAATAATAATAATTAATAATAATGATAATAACAATAACAACAACAACGATAATAATCACAATGATAATGGCACTAACAACAGTGGCAATCCACCTAAGTACATAGAAGTCCACAAGTCCACCCGTGTCCACCCACGTCCAAAGGCACCCAAGTCACCTATGTAAGTCAACCTATGTGTCCATATCCACACCCAAGTCAACCTATGTCCCCAAAAAAGGCACCCAAGTCAACCTATGTCCACAAAAAGGCACCCAAGTGTATGGAAAGGAAAAGGCACCCAAGTCAACCTATGTCCACGTCCACGGAAAAAAGTCACCTATGTCCACCAGTCCACGGAAAGGCACCCAAGGTCCACAAAAAGGGTCCACGAAAGGCACCCAAGTCACCTATGTCCACAAAAAGGCACCCACGTCCAAAAGGCACCAAGTCAACCCACGTCCACAAAAGGCACCCACGTCCACAATAGAGGCACCCAAGTCCACGGAAAAGCACCCGAGTCCACCCACGTCCACAGTGTGAAATTCATGTTGAACAGATTGCAATAGGAACAACGAAGGGAAGGGCAAGAAAACACACGAATATGCCGAAGGCCTTTTCACTATTGCTTCGTCAGGGTATATTGCCCTGACGAAGCAATAATGAAAAGGCCTTCGGCATATTCGTGTGTTTTCTTGCCCTTCCCTTCGTTGTTCCTATTGCAGGCACCCAAGTCCACGGAAAGGCACCCAAGTCCACCCACGTCCACAAAAAGGCACCCAAGTCCACGGAAAGGCACCCGAGTCCACCCACGTCCACAATAGAGGCACCCAACTCCACGTAAAAACGAGTCCACCCGTCCACAATAGAGGCACCCAAGTCCACGGAAACGCACCCAAGGCCACCCACGTCCACAAAAAGGCACCCAAGTCCACGGAAAGGCACCCGAGTCAACCCACGTCCACGGAAAGGCACCCGAGTCCACCCACGTCCACAATAGAGGCACCCAACTCCACGTAAAAGGCACCCTCCACGTCCACAAAAGAGGCACCCAAACCCGAGTCCACCCACGTCCACAAAGAGGCACCCGAGTCCACCCACGTCCACAATAGAGGCACCCAAGTCCACGGAAAGGCATCCAAGTCCGCCCACGTCCACGGAAAGGCACCCAAGTCCCCACGTCACAGGCACCCAAGTCCACCACGTCCACGGAAAGGCACCAAGTCCACCCACGTCCACAAAAGAGGCACCCAAGTCAACCCACGTCCACGGAAAGGCACCCAAGTCCACCCACGTCCACGGAAAGGCACCCAAGTCCACCCACGTCCACGAAAGGCCAAGTCCGCCCACGGCCTCCTCAACCACACTCTTCCTCGGCGACGAACGAATGGCTCCATCTGGCGCCGTTCCCCGCCGTTACGATCTCCATATCAGAAAGAAAAAGAATAAAAAAGAAATGAAAAAAAGGAAGGGATTTTGTGTCTGGAGAGAGAAAGGATTCTAAAAATAGCAAACGAACTCTTTTGTTCTCATGTCTCGACAAAGGGAGGGGGGGGGGAGGAGGGAGAGGGGGAGGGGGTCGTAATTTACGGGGGGGGGGAGGAGGAGGAGAGGGGAGAAGGGAAGAAGGGGGAGGGGGGCTAAGAGAGCGAGAGAGAAAGAAAGAATGAGGAAGGGGAAGGGAATAAGAGAGAGAGAGAGAGAGAGAGAGAGAGAGAGAGAGAGAGAGAGAGAGAGAGAGAGAGAGAGAGAGAGAGAGAGAGAGAGAGAGAGAGAGAGGAGAAGAGAGGAGGAGAGAAGAGAAAAGAGCGAGAAAGGAGGATAGATGGAAGGAGGAAAAGAAGACAAGGAAAGGAATAGAATAGAAAAGAATAAAAGAAAAGAATAGAAAACGAATGAAATTGATGCTAAAAATATGAGGATGAGAGAACGAAGCAAATTGAGCATAAGAGACAAGCTGGTGAAAGCGATGCAACATTTACATCGGGAACAGAGCAACATTGGCAAAGACTGCATGAATAAGTATCACCTTTATAATCTTTCTCCTCTTCCTCCTCCTCCTCATCATCATCATTATCATCATCACTACCGCCATCATCATCATAATTCTTCTCCGTGTACCCTCCACCTCCTTCTTTGTCTCCTCCTCATCATCATCATTTCATCATCATCATTATTCATCATATCATCATAGCAATACAAGAATATAACAGTGTTACAATTATAAATTAAATAATTGTGAAAATATATTTGTATGCATATGTATATATATATACATACATACACATACATCACACACACACACACACACACACACACACACACACACACACACACACACACACACACACACACATATATATATATATATATATATATATATATATATATATATATATATATATATATAAACAAACAAAAAACAAGTCAGAACGCGAAGGACACATGATACTAGACCACACTTGTGTTATACTTTTCTCGGCCTTTCCGAAAAGCTTTTTCTACTCTTCGAAGACACGACAAGAATATTTATCGAGTTTTTTCCCCTCAGTTATCGAGTTTCCCCCTTGGCCTTCCCTTTCTTCCCAGAAACAAAAGAGGCTTCAACTTCTATACTTTTTTTTATACCCTGTCTTGATTTGTTATCATTGTTATTGTTATTATTGTTAGTGTTAGTATCGTCATGATTACCATGCGGAGTACGCTTATAATTTGTTCATCACCATTCACCATCGCATCATCACCATTACCAGAATCACCATCACTGCCCTCACTACTTTCACCACCTTCATCACCACGAACTCCACCATCCTTAGTGTCAATAGTGTCATTATTCTTTAAAGTTTTTTTTTCTCCATTCACACTTTTTTTTCCCAGCGTCTTAATCACCACAAGATGCCGATTCCCACGGAGTGTTCTCCCTCGCCTTGGCTCAGTGGGGAAGGAAAGGTTATCGGGAGAAAAGAGGAGGGAGAGAGGGAAAGTACAGGGGAAGGGGAGGGAGGGAGGGGAAGAGAGGGAAAGGGGGAATGGGAGGAGGGAAAGGGGAAGGGAGGGGGAAAGGGGATGGAGGGAAAGGAGGAGGGGAGGGGGGGAGGGAAAGGGGAGGGGAGGAGGAGGAGGAAAAGGGGAAGGGGAGGGTAGGGGGAGGAGGGAGGGAGGGAAGAAGGGGGGAAGCAGGGGAAGGAGGGAATGATGAGAGAGAGAGAGAGAGAGAGAGAGAGAGAGAGGAGAGAGAGAGAGAGAGAGAGGAGAGAGAGAGAGAGAGAGAGGAGAGAGAGAGAGAGAGAGAGAGAGAGCGAGAGAGCAGGGGTGACCACACAGGCGCGTGACACCTTTCGGACAGGTCCCCACCACCCGCAAACAAGGGCAGCCTCTTACCTGTCCACCAGGAGCGACACGCCCGCTCCCCTCACCAGCCAGGTAGCCCCCCCCACCCCACCACCCCACCCCTAATCTCCCCCAATATCTCCCTTCCCTCCCTCCTCCGCCCCCCATTATTTCCCTTCCCCTTCCTCTCCGGGAAGAATTTTTGGAGCGTCTCAAGAAAGGAATAATTTTTCTGCTTCCTTGCGCGTCTCGCCCTCCGCCTTGGCTCGGAGCCCGCTGTCGGATGCGGTCGTGGGGTACTTCATGTCGCGTTGGTCTTCTCTCGCTTTCTCCCTTTCGTTTGTCTCTCCTTCTCCTCCTCCTTCTCCTTCGTCTCCTTCTCCCTCCCTCCCTCTCCTCTCTCTCTCTCTCTCTCTCTCTCTCTCTAACTCTCCTCTCTCTCTATCTATCTATCTAGCTCTCTCTCTCTATCTATCTCTCTCTCCCTCTCTCCCCCCTCCCTCTCCCTGCCCCTTCCCTCTCTCTCTTTCATGCATGCCTCCATCTCTCATTCCCTTTCTTCTCTCCCTTCTTCGTCCACCCTTTTTCAAAAATTCCCCAAGATTGTTAAAGGATGACGTGATCTCGACAAGGGTAAGTGCTACTGTGATGACGGCTTTTTATGCAACATCTTTTATGAGATGACTATGAGGAGCAAAGAAGGTGGGCGGAAGAGGGAGGGAGACGGAGAAGGAGAGGGAGAGTTAGGTGGAGAGAGGAGGGAGTGAGAGAGAGAGAGGTTGAGGAGGGGGAGGGAGGGAGGGAGGGGAGGGAGTGGAGAGGAGAGAGAGAAGAGAGAGAGAGAGGAGAGAGAGAGAGAGAGAGAGAGAGAGAGAGAGAGAGAGAGAGGGAGAGGAGAGAGAGACAGGAGAGGAGAGACAGAGAGAGACAGACAGAGAGAGAGAGAGAGAGAGCCAGAGAGAGAGAAAGAGAAAGAGCGAAACAGACAGACAGACAGAGACAGAGAGAAGGAAAGAAAGAGACAGAAGGAGGGGCCACAACCCGACGGACCGACAGCGAGGGGTCCGGGCGAGCGACGGCGCAGCGCCCCGGCGGAAGGCACGGCGGCGCCCCAGTCCTCGCGAATCCGAGGAAATTGGATGATATGAAAACCAAACAAGGGAATAAGTGGCGAATATTTGCTCAACTAAATTAGCAAATATTAAATATGCAGCGATGAGATTCGGCGCAGGAGTCATTATCGCTGATTATCATGCGCGTTCAGATCACTGTGAATAAATCTCTGGAAGTGCTTCTGGAAATGGAAATAGCGGGAGTCTTGGTTTAGGGAAAATCGCGCACGCACACGCACGCAGACACAGACACCAACACACGCACACCACACACACACACACACACACACACACACACACACACACACACACACACACACACACACACCACACACACACACACACACGCACACCCACACACATAAACAAACACTTAATCCCATTTCAATAATTCATTCACCCACTCAGTCGTTCGCCCATTCATCTGCCCGGCCTCTCTGAAGGACCCGTCAATAGGAGAAATCTAGCGCAATATTCCTTCCAAGACGAATTCCAAAGGGCGATTCATCACCTCTAATAATTGCCCCACCCCCCTACCCCTCCTCCTCCCCCTGCCTTCCTTACCTCCTCCTCCTCCACTCCCTCTCCTTTCGCTTCTCAACCCTTCCTCTTTCTTTTCCTGTCTAGTCTCCTCTTCCTCTTCCTCCCACCTCTCCTCTCCCTTTCCTTCCTCCTCTCCCATCTCCGCTTCCCCCCCTGTTTCCTCTTCCTCCCCCTTCTCTACCTCGTTCCTCCCTCCTCTCTCCCTTTCCTTCTCTCCTCTCCCCCCTCTCCCTTCCTCCCTCCTCTCTCCCTTTCCTCCTCCTCTCTACTCTCCTCTCTCCTTTCCTTCTCTCCCTCCCCCTTCCCCTTCCTCCCTCCTCACCCCTTCCTCCCCTCTCCCTCTCCCTCCCCCTCCCCCTCCCCCGCCCCCCGCCATGGCCGCCGTAAGGCCGACATGTTTCACAGAAGTGTCTCTTAATGAAACCCTCCTCCTCGCCTGATCATAATCTACGACCGCTTATTTAGGCATCAGGGCGCGAGAAGAGGAGCGACGCGGCCCGGGGTAACTACAGTTTCATCATGAGCGAAATTTTCTTGGAGAGCGCCAGGAAAGAAGAAGTGAGAAGAGAGAGAGAGAGTAGAGAGAAGAGAGAGAGAGAGAGAGAGCAGAGAGAAGAGATAGAGAGAGAGAGAGAGAGAGGAAGAAAGACAGAAGAGATGAGTGAGGAGAGAGAAGAGAGAGAACAGAGAGGAAGAGAGAAGAGAGAGAGCAGAGAGAGAGAGAGAGAGAGAGAGAGAGAGAGAGAGAGAGAGAGAGAGAGAGAGAGACAGAGACTTAAGTTTGGATCCATTTGCATACATTATCACGCCTCTGGCACCCGAAGAGGAGCCCCCAGGAGGTTTCATTCACAAAATTAGGTCTACGGGGCGATGGATAAAAGAATGGCGAGATGCGTGAGAGAGAGAAAAAGGGGCACTGCACACGCGGCGGTTCGTTAGGAGGGAATGAGGAGCGGGGAAGAGAAGAGAAGAAAAGAAGACAGGATAAAAAAAAGAGAACGAGATAGCGAGACGATATACGAAGCGGCGCGACGAGGGATAAAAATCCTGTTTATCTCCCCAACCTTGGCCGAGTTACGGGGATGATAACCAGATGCACGCACAGGCCGGCGCCATCGATACCAAAGGCGCTACAACCACCATCACCACCACCATTATCATCTCTCCCCTCTCTCCCTCTCCCTCCCAGATCAAATTATGTCCCCTCACCCTCCCCCCACCCCCCTTCCCGGCATTGTCCCTCCTGCGACATGTACTCACCTCACCTGACATGGATGTGGTTTGTCGCGTCCTTACTCACCCTGCCACCCTTCCTTCGCGTCCTTACTCACCCTGCACCCTCCTGTGTCGCGTCCTTACTCACCCTGCCACCCCTTCTGTGTCGCCGTCCTTACTTCACCTGCAGCGCTGCACACCTTCTGTGTCGCGTCCTTACTCACCTGCCACCCTTCTGTGTCGCGTCCT